TTACCAGACGGAAATCCCTTCTACCATTTCCTTATGCATACATTAACTTATCATGAATATATATGTATAGTTTATGAAACAAATCATTCGTATAATGACATTTGACAGAGAGAGAGTGTGTGTGTGTGTGAGAGAGAGAGCGATGAGATCCAATTTGCTTCCAGATAGTCTTTTTTTTTATTTTAAAAGATTTTTTTCCGCTTCAGCTCTAACCAGTTTTGTAAGCAAAACAAGCTTAAGGCAGGTAGTTGATGTTGTATTACTGTTCCTCTGATTGTTCGAACAACTTCTGAAATTCTTTTTGAAAGATACTCTGTTGAGGTACTTCTTCAACAGCATCGAACCCTCATTAACTATGTGATTGCTTATATAATTCATTATATATTCAAATATTACATCTTATTATATATATTATGACAATACTAAGTTTCTTTTTTCCTCATTCGAGAATGCTCTTGATGTGAAGGCATATGATACACGAGAACGGTTGAGAGGCTTTTTTCGTATTTGCTTCTTCCTATTGCTGAGAAGTCAATCCAGTTAATTTGCCTGCACGTACATATAAAGGCAGATCAATTACATCATCTGTACAGATGTTCTTCTCTACTTCCTTCCGAATTCATGTTAGGTATGCTAGAAGCTTTATTCAACTTCTCTTCTTCTTCGCTTTGACCTTTAACCAGCCGTTTGGAACATACAAAGAGAATGGCAGAACTGACCCGTACCAATATTTTACTCCTTATATAGGACAATTTGACTTTGATTGTACTTATGGAAAAAGAAGGTTCTCATGCGTTGTCGTTGCTCGTCGAGACGACATCAATCTCGCAATTGGCCTTCAACTTTCAAATACAATTTTCCTTTTTACCATTTCTCTGTTTACTTCTAAGAGCGTTTTTCATTTCCGCTTATGTAAATGAGCTATTTCATCTTAACCGACGGCAAGATCTGTTCCGTTGTATTCACATATTCCTCTCTCATCTGAATCCATCACACGTATACATACAGACACATACAAACATATTTCATCTGCCATCCATCTGACTGCAACCGTAATTATGGTTGTTGAGGTGAGAAGACAATAATATTCACCAATATTTCATTATCTTCATTACAAATAATTGTTTTCGCTTCAACGGTCATAGACAATTCCTTCACTATACTCATTCCCATTATTATCAACAAAAAAAACTTTTACTATACCATATAGTCAATGACCACTGAACGTACTCCACGTTTCAACCGTTTTCTTGACCAAACAGATGTTGCAAGCCATGTTTCCTGTTATTTTCAAAACAAGAAAATGTATTTTAAGAAGTTTTTTTTATCACTTGAATCTATTGTCTTCCTTATTCGTCTTTGCTTACTCAAGTATGCCAACCTCCTGTCTCCTCTTCTATAGCTTTCCCATCGGAAAGTAAAAACTTGAGAAGCGTGTCCAATGCCTTTCATACCGACATGCTAATGTGTTTCTTTAGTTAAACAAACATCAAAGAAACGGTCTTGGGTAGTGATCCTTCTATTTCTATGTGAACATCATCAATACCTTTTTTTTTGGAATAATTAGCGGTCGGTCATTCAGAACCTTGGCCTCTCATTATCTCGCCTTACTCGTCTTCTAGAAAAATAGAGGAGAACTCCCGTTCTCACAAGAAATTGTGATTCTGATGTTCCTCTAACTATACTTCCTCATTTCATCCGATTCCGATGACCTCTCACGTGAAACGTGTGTATTTATTCCACGTGATCCATGTGGTAGTTCACGTGAAGTGTAAGTGCAAATGTTTTTGCTGGTCATTTGAAGAT